TATGTAAGGGTATAGAATTGAGAATGCAAATACTGTATGACGAAGTGGCCAACAATCTAACCAAAGTTGGGCTGCCCTTCATTGTGTAAAAGTTAAGATGTGCATGACTTGAACAAGTATAGGCTTACCGGATTGGCTCTGCAAAGTCATAACCTCATCAATAGATAGGCAGGCTTGAAGGGCATGAGTTTTATCAGGGCTGCTAGATGGGCATATAGATGCATAGATTTCTAAATTCTAGGCAAAAAATGACAAGTTTAGGGATACACAATTTTTTTTAATGCATAGAGCAATTTTGGGCATAAAATTTTTTTCAGAAAAGTGAAAAAGGCTAAAATTGCAAAAATTAACACAAATATGCGAATTTAGCCAAAAACTTTCCAAAATTTAGTACAAAATGGGCACAAAAAACATTTTTGGGTGCAAGACAATGAAAAAAATCTGGCAGTTCCATCCTATTATATGTATCTGTGCTGTATTTGTTAAAAGTTGCAATATCTGCAATATACTGTATTTCTGCTTATAATGTACAAGTTACACAATAAATGGGTTTTTTGAAACTGACTGATGTGACTCATGGATTACTTACATTTAAGACTACTTAATATATCATTTAAGTTAATTTTAAAAAACTAAACTAACATTTTCTCATATTTTAAGTTTAAATGTCTAACATGGACTGATTCTATAGTCTGTCTGCATAAAATGAAATCAGTACAGTATTACTAGACACTAAAACTAACCTAAAGCAAGCAACAGTTTACACAACACAAAATGCTCTGCTTTAACTTTACCTTGTGACAAGGTAGCTAATTTATGGATAAAAATTATAAGGAACATCTCTTATAAAAATATAAGGTCCATATTTTAGACCAATCGAAGCACAGTATATGATGACATATACTAAACCCCCCCACATTTCCCTTGCCACTTTCTCTTTGTATGAATGAGAATTTTACATCTACCTTCCTTCATTTCTTTATTCAAACTTTTTAATTAAAATACACAAATTATGAAAATAACTTCATAAACAAATTAATTTGAATAATCATTTCATATTAATGTAATTGATAAAAATTATCAACTATATTATTTTGTGTATTTTAAAGGACACAGAATTATAAAGTTGTTCATGTTCCTTGAAAGCTTTTGTAAGTGATGATACTAGTAAATATATTTCAATTTCTTATTAATTAAGAGCCAAACAACTGATTTGTTGTAGAAGTCATGTTTTTTTATTTTCCATACAAACGACATAATAAAAATATTACAATTATAGAAAATTGCACTATTCTTGACTGCTTAAAATAAGGTCTCTTAACTTTATGTAATGATGTCATTAGGTAAGGTTAACAAATGTTATAAGAAGAGAGTGCAAACTCCTTAATATAACTAGCAGTTTGGAAAGCTCTAATGTTTTTGACCCAATTAGCAAGCTATGTTCAGGAATAAAAGGACACAAGAACCTTGTTTTTTCACCTTGACGATGGTTTATTATCTACATTGAAAAGGTTTATGCTTTCCCTGAACAGTTATCTATACTTAATCCAGCATTTGCTTTATTAATTAATAAAGTTATTTACTTTAGAAATATAAAAAAAAAATTCAGAATAAATATGAATGTCAGCATAAATTCCATGCATATTAATTACCAATATGCATATCAGTAATGCATTTATAAAAATTAGAAATTGGAAGTTTGCTATTTTTTTGGATTCATGTTGACATCAGTCATATAAGACAATCTCATTCAAATAAAAACGACTGGCAATAATTCAATAATTTTGTCCAGAATAAAACAAACATGACATTTTTCCTCATGAGACTTTCAAATGTAAATTTATGTATTTTCTTAGCATAAGGTTGCTGTTGAGAACAAATCACACAGGAACACTTTTTCAAACAGGCAGGCTTTATGCCCAAAATGCATATCCTTTCCTATCAATAAACCAACCTTTTTCCACTAAAAGTGTTCTGGTGTGATTTGTTCTCAATGGCAACCTTATGCTAAGAAAATACATAGAGTAAAGAAAACAGCAAGCAACCAAGATCTAAATGTAAATTTGTTTTAGTAAAAAAAATTCTTTACTTCACAACTGGGTGCATAGGAAGACACTGGACATCTTTACCATCACTCTTTATTCAGGAATGTCTTACACACCAATCGTTATTCCTGAATAAAGTGATGTTAAAGATGTCCAGTGTTACCTATGCAGCCAGTTGTGAAGTAAAGAATAATGATATGGTTTCAGAATAAGTTAAAAAAATTTATTATAATAAACTAATGTTATCTAAAGACATGAAAAATCTATTATATATTTTTTATTTGTGTTTTCTAGTTTGGATTAAAACATAACAAGAAAAGAAAAATTTTATAAACAATTCAATACTTATTGATAGGCATTTTATTATAAAAATTGCTGACAAATTATCAACAATCCTATAAAAGGATCATCTAAATAACTCATGGCCTGATAAAAAAACAAATGAAACAGCCATTTCATGAAACTTTTTCACTATAGCAAAGTTTCCTTTATGAGATTCTTAAAGACTACTTGAATACAAATTCTTGTAGTTTATAGCAAGATGAAATCATAACTTGAAATGAATACTTGCTTTTCAAGTTATCTGGTCCATTTCAGCATTCAACAGGGAGGAAAAAACTATACAATCTCTTCAAAGATACAATGCCCTCCACTATCTCACAGGGTATCTTTATATCCTGAATGGAAAAGTTTCTGCTCTAATACAAATAACAACAAAATCCATATAACTGAATTAACATTTTAATCTGCATATGCTTATCAAAGATGTGAACTATATCATATATCCAAGAATCTAAAAGCTTCTGTAATTATTCCAGGCCATGCTATCTGATATTTCACATTTTCACTCTATACTGTCTTAACTTTTTGTACACCTTTCAACTAACAGTTAATAATTCTTATATTTTAACTATAAATTTGCAAGATATGGGTCCACATGCTACAAAAGGTAAATAGACACTAATCTTACAATCATATGTGTTAAGATCATGTGGATACAAAATTTAACAATTTATTCAGAACTTTTCATAGCATAATAAAAAAAAACAACTGAAGCAACCATTATTTGCAAATTTGTTCTGTAGCAAAATTACCTTCATCTTAAAGACAATACTAATGAATTTGTATTCAAGTTGTCAAATTCATTAGTTTGTGTATTTTATAACAATTTTAACATAATTGTTATAAAATGATTCAACATTTATGCTATAACAGTTATAAAATCAATTCTTTATATTAATACAAACTAATATAATGCTAAAATTAATTGACCTGAATTATTTCATTACATTCTTTTCTATTGTTTTAACACCACAATCAAATTCTAACTACTCATTAATTATAAATGTAATTGTAATAAAATTTACAAAAATTGATCAACCATATTAAGTAGTATTCTGAAAACATTTCATTATTCACAATTACAAAACTTACATATTAATTCTTAATTCTGTTATGAATTATCCAACATTTGTTTAGATTCTATGACTAGAAGAAATAGCAGTTCTAAACTGAAGTTGACAAGAAATCTATTCAAAATTTTGTAATTTATAGTTAAAAAGAATGAAATTTTTCTGAAAAAATTTCTTTGACAATGATTAGTAAAGTTTAAAACTCTCATATGCTCACACTTTAACATTATATATAATGTTAATTTTTTTTTGTAAATTTTGTTATCAATAATAATCATTTCTAATTCAATTAGCTTGATCTATTTACTACAGTTTGACCACTTGTTCTCCAAGTACATACTACTAAACCTTTGATTGTCATAAATGAATTACACGATATTTGATACATGAAAGTTTAAAAGCTTAAGTAAAGTGATTATTTTTGATATTGTATATAATTGCAATTATTGAATATAGATTCAACTTTTAAGAGTGAAAAAAAGAAATGATAATTTTGTGATATTTCTTTATTGATAAAATTAGATCTGGCCAGATTTGCTGCCAGTTTTAATTCTTTGATCCTAATCTGGACATAGACACATGAGATTCATGTGAAAAAAAAAATGTTTTAAGCATTTTGAAACTGTTCAGAATTTTCATTCAACTTGTCTTCTCACTTCATAAAAATTTTTAAGAGGAAAAGTAAATTTACTATTCACTCTTAATTAATTCTACAATATTAAATTATATGTATTTTTAAGATACAATGCATACAAAACATTTTTTATATATCTAATGTGATTATTTATTAACTATACATTTAATAATTATCTACAAAATATCAAGTTAGGAATTGTCTTATAGTGATAAGACAGTTTCTAACTTGATATTTTGTGGGTACTGAGAAAACTAACCAAAACAAAGATGATTCTAATCTCTTTTTGGGCATACTAACGATCCTAATGAACATATGATCATAAACTATACTATCATTATCAGTTTATGTATCAGAAAAATGTATTTCCATATACGTAGAGACTTTAACTTTCCCATACTTTCGATAAATCATCGCGATCTTCATTACGCAAGAAGTTTCCTATGTATTATTCAGCAGAATCCACTTATTCTATTTTTAATCACTTTTCACTTTATGACACTGATTGTATATACTAAATTCATATACTATAGACTTATTTTGTACTATATATTTAACAATTTATTATTTTGAAGCTTTTCACAAACCAAATTTATGAAATTAAATTATTTAATAGTAATTTTATATTTAGAAATGACAATTTCAAAATAATCATACCTAATTTTAATGTTTTTGAAGAAATAAACAATTTTTTAATATAAATTAACATTATATTTGCAATTTAAAATATTAAATACCAAAAAATTTGTCTCTATTGCAAATATAATTAAGGGGAAAATCGTTAGTGTATATTTTATAAAGCATTACCTAAAACTTATATTACAGTTTCAGTTTGCTATTTTAAGCAATGTTTCTTTGACTTAGTATAAACATTAAATATAAGATTAACATACAAATTTATAAACTTACCAAAGGCATTGTTAAAAACTGAGAAAAGAATCCTACAGCAGGTGCAACTGGCTTGGCAAGCACTTGTCTAACAATTTTTAGATCTAAGGCACATCCCATATTAATATAATTCAACGATACTAAAATTGCTACAGAAGCGGTAAATGCAATCGATAAGGCACTTTTTTTCCTTACAACGACAACAGGTAAAGATTGAGAAGAAGTTCCTTCTTCGGTCTTCAGCCTAATTTTCGTGTAACCTAAAAATTTACCTTTAACCAGAAAAGTACCATTTATAATAGAAATGTCGCTTTTAAAATCGACTGTGGCATTCTTTTCTACGTTAGCTACGGACGGTTTTTCCGATACGAATTGTAATTGTTCTTGGCCGGAACTGTTGACATCTACGGAATAATTAACCAGATAAACGTCGTCTTCCTTTAACGAATCGATTCGTTTAGGACTGAACGACACCGTTATAGCCGCTGTCATTTCTAACAGGAGTAAGAGAAAAGACAATATTAACGTTAATAATACGACCGGACACATCTCGAAGACCAACACGTGTGACGTCGACCGACAGAAACCAAACTACTTTTGCTGAAGACCAACACGTGTGACGTAAACATAACGCAATAGTGGCGCATGCGTAGAGCGTTTTTAGGTTAAACGTTGAATGACCTTGAAAATAAAATTTCTTGGAATTTAATCGTTTCGTTCCCTCAAAAAGAAAAAAAAATTATAAATAAAAAACTCGAGTAAACCGATCATCAGTAATATTTAAATACCAATACGAACTGTCAACCGAGACGATTTAGTTAATGTTATATGACCGGAAATTCGGTAAAATTAATAAAAGCTATCGTATAAGGTGAATTTAAATAATATTAATAATTTTTTTATTTTTTTATTTGTATTTTAATTGTGATCTACGCCACATTTAAACAATTTCCATCGCATTAATTAATTATTCAATGACAAACATGTGGCGAGTTCTATTCAACTTTTTAACTTTCAAACGACCTTACATAAGTATCGTTCCGTGAATTTATTTTTGTTTTCGATCGTTACGTCGGATTATTATTTAAGTTTTCAATAAATACACGAAAATGCTTTTACCAATAAAATCTGACATTAATATATTGTATAGTTTTGAGTACGAATTAAAGTAATTAATATGATTTTCTATTCCGGTTGCCGTCAAAATGCCGCATCATTGTACAAAAGATGAGTTTGAACCGAACGAAGCTCTAAATTTAGGTAGTTGACCTTTATGCCGAAGGTATAAATATTCTGGCAATACTTTATACAAGTATATACCATGTATATGCCATGTATATACAAAACTATTCAATATTTTTCTCCATTATAATTCTAAACAACTTATGTTTTAATATTTTTAATTGAGTAGGAGAAAAATAGCATTAATCGTATAAAATTTTAATGAATATAAGCCCTTTTCTAAGATTTCTGTATTTACTTCTTATATATATTGTCAGACCGGATTTGCAGGCCCGTCCAGAACTTGTATAGAGCCTGGAGTTAGAGCCATTTTTTTAAACAAATAAAATATGTAGTTTCTTTATTAATAAAAAAAAGCGGTCTTAAATTTTTTTTTTCTGTTAATAAAAATAACATTGGAGGAGTAGGAACCATTACGAGTACCAAAGTTTTCTCTGGAGTCGGGGAAAAATCCCCAGGTTTTTCTATTGACAGACTTTAGTTTAAGGTTCTATAGTAAAAATAATATAATATAATAGTAAAAATGTGTATATAATATAATAGTAAAAATAGTAATGATATATATAAAAATACGAGGCCCTAAGCTATACTTAAGGCCTCGTATTTTTATATATATTATTACTTCGTGGAAGGGAAGGAATTGTATAATAAAGGAAATATAATAACAATAATCTGTTATTCTTATTATATTGCGTTTAAGTTAGACCTTCAATTGCTTTTTCTGAAGTAATTGTATAAAGGCCTGCAGCAGTACATGAAATAATAATAAGCGAAAATGAAGTCGTATATAAAGTTTTAACAAGTAAAAGATAAATAATGAAAGGAGTAAATATAATTTTAAAAAAAATTAAATAAGAAATGGAGCTTGTAAAATATACAAATTATTAAAAAGGAAGGATTAAGGCAAAACATTTTTTTTAATATGAATTTTATAGATCTACTCCAATATAGAAATTCAATTTATTCTCAAATTAATTTTTTATTATTTTGATAATTTATTACATGTTACCTATATGAACAAATTTTATCATTTTAGTGAACGTGTGGATGTTCACGAATATTTTATTAAGTCACATTTGTAATATAAGATGATAAATGGAAGAAAAGAGAAAAAGCGTTTAACTCGTGTGACAGATCACGTAGTCTATTTGGTCTATAGTTAAAAAAAATTACCAATGTATTGTTAATCTTTAGGATATAAACCAAATTAGATGATAAAGACGAATTGAAATACAAAAATATTACTAATCAAAATCTTATTTTAATGACAATCTTGATTATGTTAATTAATTTAATATAATGTATATTATGTAATCAATGTAATCTTCATGCAGTAATCAAAATTAAATTATTAAACAGAAAAAGTTTATTGTTAATTAAACTTTTCTGTTTAATTTTTTTCTGAAGTTTTTAATTGAATTTTTCTTAATAATTTTTAAAAAAATATTAAATAGAAAAGTTTAATTATTAATAACATTATTATAGTTTATTTAACATTAAACTTTTTTGTTTTAATAAACTTTTAAAATGAAATTTCAATTTAATTTCTTTATCTAATTTGCTTACATTAAACTGTGATTGAAGTTTTGACTAATCTGTCTCTTATAATTTATGTTTAATAAATTCTCTTATAAGTTATTTTTAAAAGTAATATTTATATAAAAAAATCAAGAAATTATAGTTTAAAAAATGATCTTTAAAGATGTAATTTAATTAAAGATAGTTTACAGATTTATTTGGCTTCTTAGATTTCAAATTTCTGTTTTCTATGATTACAACACATAGATTACAGTTAATACATTGGTAATTTAGAACAACTTCCATCTAAATCATTAAATTTTGTAACACGTAATCAAAACTTGTTGACAATTTGAAATACAAGTACAGTATATGTTATATTCAAAATAACCTTATAAGATTACTTGGCAACAGAAGACTTCAGAAACAGAAATCTTTATTTATTTCATCTTAAATTTGAAAATCAAGTAAAAACAGGAAATTTTTAATATATTTATTAAAAGTTTTTTTTTACTAAGTAAAGACAAGGGGGGGTTATATAAAACTCGAAATTTTAAACAAATTATAGTCAGAAAAGTATTGTTGATAATATTTGGTTAATTTCAAAAATATTTAACTTTAAAATATTGAGGCTATCACAATGGGCTCATTGCCTGATAAAACGGCTTTAATACAGATGAATAAGCAAACCAATGACATGGTCCGTTTTAAAGGAAATGGGCTACGTCATTGGCTTACACATCCAGCTGTATTAAGCCGCTTAACCAGGCAATGTGACCATTGATTTGAAGCTAATACACTACATAATGTTTTTGTAAATCTTCTTTAGATCTATCAAATATCTTACTTTCACAGTATATAGGCCTATACAAAAGTTTGAAATCTACTCTGAAATTGTCAGGCGGGTCACAAGTTGCTATAATTAATGTAAAACAAAGATAAAAAAGTTTCAATGCAGATCTTCCACAAAAATCCTAATTGATAAGACTCGAGCAAAAAAAAAAAAACTATTTACATACATAAAGTAGCAAATTTAAGAACAAATCTCTTGAGAATAGTTTAGGATTACAATTTCATATGAAATCATATTAATTTTATCAATTTGAACAATTAAAATAACTTACACGCCCAAGTATTTAAATCATATTTTCATCTTCCATTTTAATTAATAAAAGAGGAAATAATGACTTTTTAATAATTGGGAGGCAAAATACTAATCGTCTTAATTTGTTAATCCTCCTTTTTAAATTACTGCAATTTGTAAAATAATACTACATTCATTAACATTCGACAGAATTTGAAATTAATACAAATAAATAAAATAAATAAAAATATTAAATAACAATAATAAAAATAAAAATAATAATAATAACGGAATTTAAAATCTAGTGTTTTATCCATCTGGAACAAACTAATACCATCTTATCAAAAAACTAATCTGGAGCTCTTCCTAAATAGCAAAATGCTTATTATGCCGTATAATAAATTTTACGTTCTTAAATATATAAAGTTTTGAACATGAAATCTATTTTTTGTCCTTGAAAATTGTGTTTTGTTCTGTCTCCTGAGTCCAAAGCAAGTGAAATATTGCCTTACTTTTATTGAGACATTGCACGAATCAACCACAATAACTTGGATATTTTATTTAATCATACATAAATGTATTCCGACGGATTTTCTTCCGATTTTCCTTTACTAAAAAATTAAAAATATATAATATGAATTTTGTAGAATTTAAAATCTTTATTGAGTGATAAAATAAATTCGAAATTGTCGCCATTTAAATCTAACTGAGCTTGCTGTTTATTTATTTATGTATATGAATGATCAAAAACTGGCAGGCTACTAAACGCACTCATTACATATTAATAAACAGTAATCTGTTAAATAAGAACATTTATATTCAGAGAAATGATGACTTAATAAATTTTAGCATTGATATAATAGACGAAATATGAAAGGAATTTTTGTATAATTGTATTTGTGTAAAATAAAATAGCAAAATGCATTTGTAGAAGTAACGAATTTCCTCTATGGCAGTATATAAACGTTCAATTTTGGCACAATGTTTGAAAATTCTACTCTGTAATTGTAACAATTTTGAACGTTTTAACTTAATTTTGTAAGCTTTTTTTTTTAAATCAAGATAAACCCTATTAGAATTTGGATTTCTTCCGATAATACAAACTGTAAGTCGTTTATTATAACTTCATACTTTATGAGCATTATATGTTTATTATTTATAAGTAGAAGTTAGTGTTATGAATTCTGAAGAAACTACACGGAAATAATGTAATAGGCTAATTGTAAACAGTTTTAGAAGTTTTAATTATAATGGAAATAAAACAAAAAAAAGTTTTTGGTATTGTCTACGACAGTGTATATTGAATATTTCCTTCCTTAAAATATTTGTAGAGCCATATTTTTATTACGTCTATCAAATTTTGCTCTAAGAACGGAAATGACGTGGTGAGCTTAGTGTAACGATTGCTGTTTAATTTTAATTTTGTCTTTTAAAAATCTACAGAAATGATTTAGTATACATTTTCATACACTATAGGCTATATACTACGACTAAAGCGTATGAATTGGATAAAAGTAGACTTAACCGGCAATACTAATTTTATCCAAGTCTTTTGGTTGAAGCAAATAGGAATCTATTAATTTTGAAGTTTGTCTGTGTGAGGAACTCTGTGTCCAAGGTGCAAATGGGTATAGCTATTATCCAAAAACTGGTGGATGAGTAAGAATAAAACTTAAAATTTGGGTTTTATCCACCTAGTGATGTCACCGCATGAGGAACGCACCGAGTGACACTATCGGGAGACGACTTGTTTGTTTGTTTTGTTAGAGTCGGCAACGCAACACTTGGACGAACTGCCTAAAGCAATCGCTCAAATGTTGGGGCTAGTTAGGCGTTAAAAAACAATAGAGTATTTACTCAGAATGAAGTGTATAAAGTAATTTTATAAAGAAAGATTCTAATATTATTTTAAAGGCTTAAATCTGTTATATGTGTTTAAGTGAATTCTCTATAACTGCTACTTTCTTTGTCCACTTCAGGTAATATTTTATTTTGTTGCTCTTTATGTTATGACATATTTCTACAAATTAAGTAGTTTATGCTAACAAGTCTCGAATTTCTTGAAATCTCTAATCTTCTCAATTCTTCAATCTTTACTTTCTCATAAAAAGTATTACTTTTAAGTGACGAAGTTTGGCCTTGAACATGTCCTTTAACTTCCTCGCGTATCCAGCTTCCCACTCATTTTTATAATTTTTTTGCTTTAGTTGGTACCGAAATCTCTCATCCGGTCTCAGCTGCGGAATGTTTGCAACGTTGGCTTCACGGAATATTATAGGATTCCGTGATGGTCCAACTTGGCAAATATGTCGTCAGCATAACGGATGCTGACTAAGTATACTAAGTACGGCGAAATTCAGGGTAGTATTTCTTTAGGAAGGGTACTAACATTAGCCTCTTCTGAATGCATTCGTTGCAATACACTTCTTTGATGATGGAGATCGAAACAATGAAAGCATACGAATGTCCTTTGGACTGATTTCCAGTCAAACTAGAAATTTTGACAATGCTTGGTATCCATAACCACAGCAATATTGTTTGGCGCCTTCGAGACTCCATCACGCAGCTTCCGCAGAAGGATTTTTTGTGTAGCAAGTTACTTCGTCGTGTAATTTTGAGCAGACTTTCACTTTTTGAGTCACTTGACGTTCCTTTAATTAAAATCCGACGAACATGCCCGTGTTGTGAAACATTCTTTCCAATTTTCAAGCGTTTGTCCAACTTTTCACAAGATTTTTTCCTCCAGTTTGTTTCTATACTTTTCAGTCATTTCTCTCTTCTTTCGACTACTTTCCATTCTTCTTTGTATAGGTTCCTCTTTGCTAATGGCGCACTCAAGATTTAATCGGTTAAAAATATTTTTCATGCAAATTCAATAAAATTCCCACCTTACGTGACAGTTAATTCATTAGAAATAGAAGGCACGACAATTCATAAATAAAATAGCATTTTAATTAGGAAAAGATTTTTGGAAAACTTTCTTGTGTTATTTTTCCTATTTATTTGGAGGGCGACAGAGCCCTTTGGCTCCTCTAAGTGTGCCACTGCCCCTTGAAATAATGTTGTGCGCTGTAATGACGTGAAATGCTCATTGCAGAGAAATGTTTAACTGTATAAGATTTCCAAATTAAAATTTTTCAATGGAATTCATTTAATCTTTTTATTTTTAAATTAATGTAAAATTCTTTTGATAACGACCTCGATTATGCCGCCTCCTGTTTATTAGAATCAAGAGCTTTACATCATCTTTTCATTCTTGAAATTAAAAGCTCGAATTTAAAATTAATAAATAAATAAATTTAAAAACATTTAAAATCAGTTGGTGTTCGACGGTTTACGGTTGCCCTGTAGTGATTGCTTATCACGATTTCTCGTGGACAATACAGAGCCTTTGTTTTGATTTCTCATTGATTAAATAGTATTCTGCTTGATATGTGATGTTAATATGCGTTGTTAAAATCATTATATTTTTGTTTTGTAGCATTCAGAAATGGTTTCCTTACAGTCCGAACTCTGAGGCTCCTTAAGGCCGCCCTCTGAGTTCGAATTAACGAGAGTCTACTGNTTAATTAATTTAAAAACATTTAAAATCAATTGATGTTCGACGGTTTACGGTTGCCTTATAGTGATTGCTTATCACGATTTCTCATGGACAATACAGAGCCTTTGTTTTGATTTCTCATTGATTAAATAGTAGACTATTCTGCTTGATATGTGATGTTAATGTGTTGTTAAAATCCTTATTTTTTTTGTTCTGTATCATTCAGAAATGGTTTCCTTTCAGTTCTAACTGTTTAAGGCCGCCCTCTGAGTTCGAATTAACGATAGTCTACTGTAAGCATGCGAACATTTTTTTAGTGTCATAATCGGAATTTTTGACACTGATCCGATGGGAAGTAATGGCTTATCTAACGACGAGTTTACTAGAACCAATTAAGTCGTAAAAGCTGGGAATATTAAGCTTTTACAACTTAATTGTGCTGACTGCAGGATGGCCAGGTAGTCAAGGCGTCTGCCATTCTTTAACTTCTCTTCTTGTTTACATCTTGTCGCATAAGATCAAAGCTAAAAGATGTGATTGGCTGATAGTTTGTTTAGTTTAATTTTTAAATTTTTTTGTAATATATTGTGTGCGTGTCAGAAGCTCAGGATGTCCGTTTCTAACTATAGATTTAAGTGTAGAATTAAAGTGTGGCGAAGTGTGAATTATAGGGTTTTCAAGCAGTCCGGTGACGAGAAAGAAGGTAAAGGAACCTGTAACGAGTCAATTTCTTTCCTGCGAATTTCATTGGAGCCAGCCGCATGCAGCACTCTGAATGGAATTCTGGGGATAGAAGTTCAGATCTAATATATTGGATCATTCGGCTTTGAATTTGTAATAATTTTAGATAAAATAAGGGAATTAACATCCATAAATTAAATTTCTGAAACGATATTTTTATTTATGATTAAAAAATTATTACTGGAGTCAAAACTTCTTGAACTTGAATCTACTGTTAAATATTGCAAAAACGAAGTAATGTTTTATAATAATTAGACTAAAGTGGATCAACATTGAATTTAAATGATAAAATATTCATATGCCATAATTAAAAAACCCCAGGAATTTTTCGGGAATGATCTGTCCCGTCTCTCACCATCATTGTAAGCCTAGCTGAACATACGATGAGTATGATTTANTCGAGTAAACCGATCATCAGTAATATTTAAATACCAATACGAACTGTCAACCGAGACGATTTAGTTAATGTTATATGACCGGAAATTCGGTAAAATTAATAAAAGCTATCGTATAAGGTGAATTTAAATAATATTAATAATTTTTTTATTTTTTTATTTGTATTTTAATTGTGATCTACGCCACATTTAAACAATTTCCATCGCATTAATTAATTATTCAATGACAAACATGTGGCGAGTTCTATTCAACTTTTTAACTTTCAAACGACCTTACATAAGTATCGTTCCGTGAATTTATTTTTGTTTTCGATCGTTACGTCGGATTATTATTTAAGTTTTCAATAAATACACGAAAATGCTTTTACCAATAAAATCTGACATTAATATATTGTATAGTTTTGAGTACGAATTAAAGTAATTAATATGATTTTCTATTCCGGTTGCCGTCAAAATGCCGCATCATTGTACAAAAGATGAGTTTGAACCGAACGAAGCTCTAAATTTAGGTAGTTGACCTTTATGCCGAAGGTATAAATATTCTGGCAATACTTTATACAAGTATATACCATGTATATGCCATGTATATACAAAACTATTCAATATTTTTCTCCATTATAATTCTAAACAACTTATGTTTTAATATTTTTAATTGAGTAGGAGAAAAATAGCATTAATCGTATAAAATTTTAATGAATATAAGCCCTTTTCTAAGATTTCTGTATTTACTTCTTATATATATTGTCAGACCGGATTTGCAGGCCCGTCCAGAACTTGTATAGAGCCTGGAGTTAGAGCCATTTTTTTAAACAAATAAAATATGTAGTTTCTTTATTAATAAAAAAAAGCGGTCTTAAATTTTTTTTTTCTGTTAATAAAAATAACATTGGAGGAGTAGGAACCATTACGAGTACCAAAGTTTTCTCTGGAGTCGGGGAAAAATCCCCAGGTTTTTCTATTGACAGACTTTAGTTTAAGGTTCTATAGTAAAAATAATATAATATAATAGTAAAAATGTGTATATAATATAATAGTAAAAATAGTAATGATATATATAAAAATACGAGGCCCTAAGCTATACTTAAGGCCTCGTATTTTTATATATATTATTACTTCGTGGAAGGGAAGGAATTGTATAATAAAGGAAATATAATAACAATAATCTGTTATTCTTATTATATTGCGTTTAAGTTAGACCTTCAATTGCTTTTTCTGAAGTAATTGTATAAAGGCCTGCAGCAGTACATGAAATAATAATAAGCGAAAATGAAGTCGTATATAAAGTTTTAACAAGTAAAAGATAAATAATGAAAGGAGTAAATATAATTTTAAAAAAAATTAAATAAGAAATGGAGCTTGTAAAATATACAAATTATTAAAAAGGAAGGATTAAGGCAAAACATTTTTTTTAATTGAATTTTATGCAATTTAAAATATTAAATACCAAAAAATTTGTCTCTATTGCAAATATAATTAAGGGGAAAATCGTTAGTGTATATTTTATAAAGCATTACCTAAAACTTATATTACAGTTTCAGTTTGCTATTTTAAGCAATGTTTCTTTGACTTANTACTTAAATCTGTAAATAATTTAGACAAATCACAACTCTATAATGAGTCTAAAATCACTGTTGATAATTTCAAACAACACATTTATTAATTCTTTCGTATTTTACACAAAAGTGTACACACACAAGGTACAATTAATAACAGTACTCTTCGATCAGTTCGAAAGATTTTCATTAATTTCCTTCATTTTTGTCATTTGGAATGATTTCGGAAGAAGACTTAAAGGAAAGATTCAAATCATATTGGAACAGTTTCCCCGTTTCTCCTCAGCCAGGAGTCGAAGTGACATCCGATCTTTCTTTTCCCGTAAAAATTTCTAAATCTTCCACCTGGTTTGGGAAATTCGTCATTTCTACTGTAAAACTATCGAATATTTTCATTGCTTCTAGTTTCGTTCCAAACAAATAATTTTTCGTCACTTCTAGATTGACCAACTTTTCCATTTTCTGATCGACTCCTTTTGTATCTCTTGCTAATATTCCAAATTCTGATCTCTTAAATGGCGATCGATCAATCTCCTCACATTGACGATATCGAATGGGATGGGAATTTACGAATTTTTCCTTGCATAACTCCTTCACGTTGTTATCAAACCATTCAAACATTTCAGAGACGAATTCCTGCGAAACGCATTTTATCAATTTTCCATACTTTTGATGATCTATTTGACAATGAAACTCATTGACATCTATGGAATTCTTATATATATACGTATACTAGCTGTTACCCGCGGCTTTGCCCGCGAGGATTTTGCAAGCAAACCCTATTTATATTCAGTATTTCAATAACCATAGTAATTGTTATATAACACCTACCGCCGAGAATGATGAGAATTGCCAAGAATCAAACGAACTATTTTCAATTTGATCAATTTTCTGGAACGTTTACAATCGTTCCATAATCGAACCAATATGCAATAACAAATTCGAATTTAAAACGGTTCGAACATTTTTAAAATCGAAATACATAAAAATATTTATAACAATGTCTGAAATGTTATCAATTTAATACACCTAAGTACTCGATNTTTTCTGGAACGTTTACAATCGTTCTATAATCGAACCAATATACAATAACAAATTCGAATTTAAAACGGTTCGAACATTTTTTAAATCGAAATAGATAAAAATATTTATAACAATGTCTTAAATGTTATCTATTTAATTCACCTAGGTACTCAATGAAGACTAAACGTAGTTGAAAATAAAAAATCGCATCTAAAATAGTACAGTAGAAGCCGTTCTTCTGGTTAAGCCTCAATTCTCTTCCTCTCTCTCCGCGGGGGAATTTCGAAAAATCCCTTCTTAGTGAGCGTTTTCATGACGTACCCTAACTGTGTAGCAAATTTCACCTCTTTAGGTTCAGCGGTTTGCTCTGGGCGGTCAGGATAAGCAATTTTATATATTTAAATATATATAGGCCTATATATATATTTTTAACTCTTTCCGCCCTGTGGGCACTAAGAGGGCCCTTTTTGCAAGCCCATTATGGGTTCGGCCAGGCCCACAATGGGGCGACCGGATGGTGAGGGACGGGGCCCGACATATCCGAACGGACCACCCCCGAAAAATTCCTGGGGATTTTTCGACGCGTTCGGATTCGAACCCAGGTCACCCAGAGCGGTAGGCTGCCATCCGGCCGCTATTTAGATATATACCAGTATATATAGAGATACAGATGTATTCGTTACTGGTTTGAATTCCATCTTCGTTTCTAAGATGCAATTTGTGTTTTCTCTTTTTTACTCTCTAGAACAGGGATGGCCAACACGTAGACAGCGGTCGACTGGTCGACCGCAAATGTTTTGAAAGTAGCCCGAGAAGCTAAAGTTGAACAATTTGCTTTCACTTAAATTAATGTTTAAAAATCTTAATTCGATAATTTCTTCTTACAATAATAGACTATCTGTGCAACGTACCCATACTGTTTGTATTTATCCCGATGAACAATGCAAATGAATGTTAACGCATGCGCATATAAAAATCCTAAAATTGTTTGCCCATATTCATAGTCGCCTACAGACTATATTTTACCAAAAAAGTAGCCCCTAAGGGATAAAAGTTTGGCCACACCTGCTATAGAAGGAAAGATCCAAAAATCTTACAATTTCCATAGTTTTGGATTTTCTCAAAGATCCAAAACTATGGAAATTGTAAGAGAGATTAAAAAAATACCTAACTATCCGCATTTTCCACCACCGTTCTCCTCTTTTCTGTTCCTGCATCTTTCGTTTCTTCTGAAAACGCCGAGTTGACAGTCGAATGATAAAAGTCGTTTTCGTCGATCATTTTGGATATCTTTGTTCCCTTATTTGTCTCAAAATTTTCGTCGAGTGCCTGTCTCTTTCTTTCCATCTCTCGAATTCTCTTTCGCACGTTACTCGTTTCCGCGATCCTCTTCAAAGACCATTGAGAAGTGTCTAATGATGTCAAATTGGATTTTCTTTTTTTCCAATCGGGACTCACGTTTTCTTTGTCGTCATCGATCTTCGCATCTTTTGAATCGTCTTTCAGAGAGTTAATAACAATTCGAACGTCATCTTCACTGTCAGAATCGGTCTGGTCCAATAAAGTGTCGTCGTAGAACCAATTCATCCCCATATTCTTTAGCATTTCGTGTCGACAGTCAGACTTTTTAAGAAGTTCGAAAATTTCTAATTGTTCGCGAAAATGCGAAGAATTCTCATTATCTTCTGGTTCTCTGTCTTCTTTCATACTTTCAATGTGCAAATCTTTCAGTTTTTTTCTGTTTCTCTTTAGATCTTCGGTTACGTCTGCACAAGCGGACGAAGAAACTGCATACCTTCCGCAGTTGTCCGTCTCTTTGATGTAATCGTCTTCATCCGAACATCTGGAGTCTGTTCTACAACTAGAAAATTCTTCGGATTTTCGATTTTCCAAGTTTTCGATTGTTTGCTATTCAAAAATCTGCAACATAAATTCAAACATAAGAAACAACTGGATAAAAATAATTTGAGAAATTGAATCTAATTTCCAACATGAAACTTGCTTACAAACACGTATTTATAGTAATTTAATTAACCATAATTTATCAAATTCTAGAACATTTGCTTAAAAAATTTGAATGTTTCAACATCGCGTGTTCGTTTGACTCCGAATCTGGAGTCGTTAAAATCTGTTTACGCGACATTCTAAGTTTAAAATTTAAAAAAATCACACAAAATAAAAAAAAAATAATAACATAAAAAAGATGTTGAGCCTATATTTATATCTAATAAGCGAAATAATTTCAAGCCCTTAGTCAATGTATAATACATGGCTAAGCGCTTGAAATTATGAGACATAAATATAGGCTGAATATTTTTGGAAACTGATGAGAGACAATTAAGTTGGCTAAAAATGTTTCTTCGTATACACATTACAAGCAATAAATTAAACATTTAGTTATCTCAAATAGAAATTCTATTTTGAAATTTGGCAGAACAGTTTCAATAACATTGTCTTTTGTACAGATCTGTTGCAGAAGCCGTAAAGATTTCAGGAGTTACAAAGTAGAGCTTAAGCCTACCCAGACTTGAGACAAAGCTATTTGGCTTCTCATCTGAGTAGATGGAATTCTTTTCTATGTACAGTACAGTATATATCTGAGTAGATACGTTTCTTTTTAGAGAAAGCATAGAAAATGGTTCGACATCCTTTCATGGAGCTCTAAATTTCGACTGCAAAGTACAGCAGAGCATCGATTATCCGACCACCGATTAATCGCCACGTCGGTTAACCGACCGTTCTAGTCGGCAAATTCAAATGTCTGCTAGTGATGTGGCGCTACAATATTTGGCAATGTCTTGGCTACTTTAATAGTATTTTTACGTGTTTTAGCTGGCAACATGGCTCGACAATGAAAGGGAGCCAGTATTTAAACGAGGCTTAATTTTCTAATTTTTAACGATACAATAGCGACGATTATTATTTAAAAAAATTTTTGTTAAGCTTAACATGGATGAAAATTCAACGCGAAGTAGGTTAATAGCGATATACTAATACACTAATTACATGAGATACATTAATATACTATACTAATAATGAATATTTTTTGTATCTTTCGGTTATCCATTTTTTCAGTTATCCAACCCCAGTCCCCAATTGAGTCGGATAATCGATGCTCTACTGTACATGAAACAAAGCGGTACTGACCGAACTGCGTAGTGAACATCGACAAATGTTTGTATGAATAGAAAATAAGGAAAAGAAAACAAGTAATAAACCAGAAAAAAAATGAAATGGGAACTCGATTCTGAATATTTGTGACACTCATACAAAGAAAGCGCAGTGATTACCAAGCAAAGCACAAATTTCAAACATATCCGCATTTAATTAGATCTAAGTTTCCAATAATCGGTTATTGCATAAATAATTGATTGTTATGTTACTAAAGGTAGTGGTTCAAACAGATCAGTTAATCAAACACCTATTTACAATAGAAAGTAGAGAAACAACTTTTCCGAAAGAGTTGTAGAGAACACTTGTCCAGGCTCTGGAGTTAGATATTAACTCGAATTTAGCGAATGTTCAAAAGAATAATCTAATGTCAATATCGAGATTGTTCTAAATACGGAAAAGACAAATATGTGCAGCACTGTTTAACAATTTAATACCAGTAAGGAATGATCGATAAAAAAAGCAACGACGAGATTTATTCGCGTCATTGAAACAGTTGGAATCGAGTTAGTTCTATATTTCGAAACGAAAAAATAATGCAATCTATCCAGAAATTTTTCCAACTGATGGCATTTAAATTATGATTTGTATTTCAAATGGGTTATTTGTGTTAATTCATGCTTGTTTATCACGTAATAAATTAGAAAAAAAGCGATAATTACAGAAAAGTCCTTACCTGTCTTTCATGCCGGAAAATTCTCGTTCGGTTGGGGTTCACGGGCATCGATCCGAACTGGTAAGAATTCAAATGTTGCGCGTCAAGATGGTGTCGCATCATGAAGACAAAACAAAGGATAGGTTATTTGGAAGCCAAGTAATGATTAAGAAGAAGAACACACCATTCTTACCCATGTATCGAATCGTGTCTGTAAAAATGGCCGTTATTCCACATGTTGAATTCAATGAAACACTTCAATATATTGTTTCAAATTATTAAAATTATTTCAAAAAAATATTATATCGTCAGATTACAATATCCAGTAAAAATTCCAAAAAAGTTCATTTATTTTGAATCCTTTCGTTTTAAAGTCGATAGAACGTAGAACCGTTTGGTTTCGTAAACGTTTTAAAAAAGAACGTTTAAATTTTATAAAATAATGACGTCTTCAAGTGAAAATTTCTAATGCTGTAGAACAATTCAAAAATCTTTATTCGACATTATGAAAAATTTTAATATTATTAAACTCGGCACCCTCGAAAATCACTTAAATCATATTTTGTGCTGGCCGTTAACCTCGTATTTTGGATTTTCCAATTCCAATGCTAACCATACCGCTCGTTCGATAGAAAGAAGAGAACGTTGCGGAAGGGGTTGAAGTAATTCGACCAAAAGTAGTTCTTGATCTCCTTCTGGAAAAGAGGATGGTCAACCACTACTAATTAATAGTGGTCTAGTACTGTTAATATTTGAAAAGTGATACGTGTTAGACAGGTTATGATGGCCGTGATGAAAGTTAATCTTAACATCCGAAAGACTTCATATGATTTGTGTAAATAAAAAAAATCTTGCATAACTGTGAGAATAATTGCTTTTATGTTATACCTACGCAAAAACATCTTATGTCATTGAGAATTATTTATTAACCGTAACGAACGTTTTCATCCTTAAACCAACGTTTTTTTAACTACAGTATTTTATTATTTTGTAATTTTAAATTGTATATGTATTTCGGATAAAGTTTGCCAGTACACTATATAATCGCAGGATCAGTGGCGTAGCGTGGGTGTCAGCCGCCCGGAGCAAAGGAAAATTTCGCCGTCCCCTTATTTAGGTATCCCAATTTAAAAGACTAAAATTCAGTTTCGTCACAGAATAAGTAATGAAAAATTCTGTGCTAGTATTGCCACCTTTTTAAAATCGCTGACCCGGACGGCATGTGAGGTTTGTTCGAACAGAAGTTCCTGACGCATGTATGTCATTTTGCAATGCGAAGAATAATGTGCAATGCATGGCGGTTCTAAATCAGTTACAGTTAGCAACTAGGGAGACATGGGTAGGAGTAACGTAAGTAACCTAGATGACTTAGCTCTATTGGATGGATATTGGGAATGTATATGAATACGAATGAATCGTACAAGCAAAAAGAAAAAAATAAAGGTCGAAGGTTGCGCACGATATCGCCGGGTAAAGTTAATAGTTCATCCGGACGGTCAGTCGATTCCCAGACTGTCCGGTTGGTAACACTATTCCGTGCTCATTTCAATCGGTCCGAATCGTAAAACGACGAAAATATGAAATGAAATGGTTCAAATTTTTACAAGATATTATTATTATTTATTGTGAAATTTTGCTGCGCCCTAAAAAGTGCCGCTCGGGGCAGGCCGCCCCTGCCGCCCCACTACGCTACGCCACTGTTTTAACTAAAAATTTAGGGTACATTTGAACAAAGCATGTGAACTCACATGCTTTACTCAAATGTTTTGGTATCAAATACACAGAGGTAATAAATCACGTGAATTGAAATTCGGGCTGCTAATTTTATCAACATACTGCACTTTACACCACGACAGATATTTTATCTAAATTTTACTCTCCGGCTATTATAGAAAGTATAGTTTTTCGACACTGACATTTTAGAAGCAAAAACATGAATTTAAAAAAGGGCTTACCGAACACTTGAATCCATTTGCCCTCAGACAATTTTATCTTAAGAGTAAGAATTATGGCGTCGTAGAGGAGCGCGCACACTGCTAGATACAGTAGGAGCACGACAAAATAGTCCTCGAGCTCCGCAGACAGCTTCCAACTTTTCTGTCTGTAGACTGTTGTCCGCCTGAATAAACACATCAATGCACGCACATAGAAGACAAAACTCTCTGCCGCAACATCCACTCCCTTTTCTATAGCGTGGTGGAAACTGCTATATTGGAAATTTAAAAATATCAAAATAGATGACGATAGATTTTTCAAGTCGCTGAAACTATTTTTCAAATAATGAGCAGAATGAATTGCTAAATTTTAGCACGACGTAATTGGATGTTCTAGTACAATACGCGCGATTTTACTGATTATATTTTCGCACGGAAAGTTTGCCCAACGTATAATGACAATAGTTCACGGAATGTAGTTTGGATATAGAAAGGATTTTATTACTGATACGAGCGATTATTTATTGTGATACCGTCACAATGACGGACTGTAATTTTTAATCATATTTACATTAAAACTTTCAAACAAAAACTTCCAGCCATATCGCAAAGATAAAACATTTTTATATTAAGAAAAAGAAGAATAAATTATTCACAATGGGTTTTTTTCCTACAGACATCTATATACTAAACCCACCATACAATTATAGCACAACACAAAGACATCGGTCCTTTTTTGTTCAATTCAATCATACACAGAAATGAAAGCAAGCATGGATCAAGTGGAAAATCAATATATGCACAATATACCAATCATGCTTTGGGTCAATATAAATACATACGGCATTCAAAATGCAGTGTCTCCTTTGGCTGAGTGAATATAACCACTGCAATCCATAAATATATCATGTCATTTTAATTAAAAATTTCGGTTTTGTATAGTGATTTCACATGCTTTAATCAAATGCATTGGTATCATACACGCTGAAATCTTATCTTATTGTGTTTGATACCAAAATAAATCACGTCAATGGCGTAGCGTAGTGGGGGCGGCAGTGGCGGCCCGTCCATGGCAGCACTTTTAGGGGGCGGCAAAATTTCACAATAAATAATAATAATATCTTGTAAAAATTTGAACCATTTCATTTGATATTTTTGTCTCACCTACGATTCGCACAGATTGAAATGAGCACGGAATTTTTCATTACTTACTCTGTGACGAAACTGAATTTTAGTCTTTTCAATTGAGATCTAAATAAGGGGGCGGCGAAATTTTCCTTCTCCCCGGGCGGCTGACACCCACGCTACGCCACTGAGTTAAAATGACAAACGATATTTGTGGATTGCAGTGGTTATATTTACTCAGCCAACGGTAGACACTGCGTTTTGAATGTCGTATATGTTTATATTGACACAAAGAATGATTGGTATATTGTGCAATGTATTGTTTTCCCACTTGATCCGTGCTTGCTTTCATTTCTGTGTATGATTGAATTGAAGAAAAAAAAAGACCGATGTCTTTGTGTTGTGCTATAATTGTATGGTGAGTTTAGTATATAGATGTCTGTAGGAAAAAAACCCATTGTGAATAATTTGTTCTTCTTTTTCTTAATATAAAAATGTTTTATCTTTGCGATATGGCTGGAAGTTTTTGTTTGAAAGTTTTAATGTAAATATGATTAAAAATTACAGCCCGGCATTGTGACGGTATCACAATAAATAATCGCTCGTATCAGTAATAAAATCCTTTCTACATCCAAACTACATTCCGTGAACTATTGTCATTATGCGTTGGGCAAATTTTCCTTGCGAAAATATAATCCGTAAATTTTACTGATTATATTTTCGCAAGGAAAATTTCGTAATGTTGATATTGTACTAGAATATCCAATTACGTCGTGCTAAAATTTAGCAATTCATTCTGCTCATTATTTGAAAAATAGTTTCAGCGACTTAAAAAAATCTATCGTCATCTATTTTGATATTTTTAAATTTCCAATATAGCAGTTTCCACCACGCTATAGAAAACGGGAGTGGATGTTGCGGCAGAGAGTTTTGTCTTCTATGTGCGTGCATCGATGTGTTTATTCAGGCGGACAACAGTCTACAGACAGAAAAGTTGGAAGCTGTCTGCGGAGCTCGAGGACTATTTTGTCGTTCTCCTACTGTATCTAGCAGTGTGCGCGCTCCTCTACGACGCCATAATTTTTACTCTTAAGATAAAATTGTCTGAGGGCAAATAGATTCAAGTGTTCGGTAAGCCCTTTTTTAAATTCATGTTTTGGCTTCTAAAATGTCAGTGTCGAAAAAATTCAAAAATCAGGTGGTCAAAATTTGGCAGATTACTATAATTTCTATAATAGCAGGGAATAAAATTCAGATAAAATATCTGTCGTGATGTAAAGTGCAGTGTGTTGATAAAATTCGCGTAAATTTATCAGCCCGAATATCAATTCACGTGATTTATTTTGGTATCAAACACAATGAGGTAAGACTTCAGTGTGTTTGATACCAAAACATTTGAGTAAGGCATGTGAATTCACTATACAAAACTGCGGCCGGATGGCCGAGCGGGCAAGGTGGCAGCCTACCGCTCTGGGGGACACGGGGTCTAATCCCCAGTCCCCCAGGTCGAAAAATCCACAGGAATTTTTCGGGGGATGGTCTGTTCGAATATGTCGGGGCCCGACATATCCGAACAGACCCGAAGGGCGGAAAGAGTTAAAAAAAAAACTATACAAAACCGAAATTTTCAGTTAAAATGACAAGTGATATATTTATGGATTGCAGTAGTTATATTTACTCAGCCAAAGGAGACACTGCGTTTTGAATGTCGTATGTATTTATATTCACACAAAGTATGATCTGTATATTGTGCATGTATTGATTTTCCACTTGATCCATGCTTGCTTTCATTTCTGTGTATGATTGAATTGAGCAAAAAAGGACGGATGTCTTTGTGTTGTGCTATAATTGTATGGTGGGTTTAGAATATAGTTGTCTGCAGAAAAAAGACCGATTGTGAATAATTTATTGTTTTTTCTTAATATGAAAATATTTTATCTTTGCGATATGGCTGGAAGTTTTTGTTTGAAAGTTTCAATGTATTCTTGTAGTGTGCGTTTTAATTTTTCAAAATATTTTATTAATCTCTTTCATTCAGTTTGGTATTATTTTATTATATTGTGTCAGCCTATTTAATTGTTGTCTAAAGTTATTTATTTATATTTTCTAGTCTTCTTTGCAGAACAGGCTTATGATTTGTGTGTGTTTGAAAAACTTCAGTGCAAATATTTGTAGAAATTTCAAGACATTGATATTTAATAAATAATAATTCATGTCTCACTAGCAGCAAAATTAAATATTTAAATCTGACAATACAATGGAATTTATGTTTTTGCAGATTTGTAAACATGAATCTCAAGTACTGGGTTGTTTTAGCATTACTTTTTGCTCTAACTGACAAAGGTAATTTATGTTATAAATGACTTCTATTTAAACTAAAAAAAATATTTGATTCATTTAAGAAATGACAATAAAATGTTTATTAATACTGTAAATTAAAATTTTTGAAATTAAGATAATACAGTATAATGCATTGTTAATAAGAAAGAAATAACAAATTTTGAATTAATAAAATTAACTTTTTACGGTGGCGTACCGTAGTGGGGGATTTAAAAAATTTATCAATTAGTTAATTATGTTTTAGTTTTATTTGTAAATATTTTTATTCTGTGGGCACTAAGAAGGCCTGTTTTAACGGTTCAGCCAAGCTTACGATGGAGCAGCTGATGATGAGAGACACGGACCGACATATCTGGACGAACTACTTCTGGGAAAATTCCTGGAGTTTTTCGACCCGTTATGATTGGTTATGATCGCAGAGCGGTAAGCTGCTATCTTGACCGATTCGAGCCAGAGTGCCTTTACTGCCTGTTGACTATCATATCAATCTAGTGACACAATAAATTAGCTCTTAATTTATTTACTTTTTAAGATCTCATATATAAGTAACTGTGTAAACTTTTATTACATCACTAAAATTTATTTTCAGTGAAATTAGATCATTTGTCAGATGAAGAAAGTACAGGTAAATAATGGTGTTTAGTTTAAAAACAACATCCCGCCTAATATTTAAAAAAAATATTTATTTATTTCAGGACTTGCAACTGGAGATTTTATAGGTATTATTATGGGATGCGTGGTTGGATTAATTATTTGCTGTTCGTGCATATGTTATTTCTGCTGTAATTGCTGTCGATCACGTAAACCTGTAATTGCGCAACGAAGTACCACCACCGTTCCTTCCGGACTCACTATTATCACTATTCCAGCCGGAGGAAATAGCGGATTTTCGAATATCTCATCGTGTCCACCTCCTTATATGCATTTAAAATAAATTAAAACTACACTACAATTATAAATAACATATTTAAAATATTTTAGTTATAATATTTCGGAATAATCTTACTGGTAAATAGAGCTGCATTATAGTTTTTTTTTTCCTAGATTAAAAAAATTGGCTTTTCAGTTTATACACATTCTGTATTTTAAAATGTATTATAATTTGTATTATAATGATAAATTTGTATTATTACAACAATTTTATACCTAAATAATAAAATATTGTGATTAATAGTCATTTTTTATACTATAAATATTCGTAGCAATGTAAAATATAATCTTATTTCTGATAAAAGTTCGAAGTACAGTAGTACCTCTGTATTCGAATTTAATTCGTTCCTGTTCCAGTGCCGACCGAGTTTTTCCGATATAGAATAATGTACCATACAATAAGTACCCTATCCATCCTCCACAGATGCCTTATTTCCTGGGCGAGTTCTGTGTACTTGCTAATTTTTTCAGTGCATGTGTTTTGTACATTTTGAGTGTTTGGAGTGGCTATGTCTATAATGTATGTGATTTTATTGTATTTGTCAATGAGTGTGATGTCTGGTCTGTTGTGGTAAATTGTTTTATCTGTGATTATGGCTCTGCCGTAGTACAGTCTGTGTGTGTTGTTTTCCAATACTGTCTGTGGAATGTACTTGTAGTATGGTTCGTGGATGTCTGCCAATTTGTGTTTCTTTGCAAGCTCTTGGTGTATTATATTTGCTACTTGATTGTGTCTATGTAAGTAATCTGTCTGTGCCAAGAGCTTGCAACCAGAAGTGATGTGTTGTATAGTTTCTGGCATGATGTGACATTTTCTGCATGTGTCATTTGTGAGTGTTGTATCTTTGAGTATGTGTTTTCTGTAGTTTTTAGTATTTATGACCTGATCCTGTATGGCAATCATGAATCCTTCCGTCTCCCCAAAGAGGCATCCCCGATCTAACCAGCTGTTTGACGCAGTTTTGTCAACAAAATCCTGGGCCAGGTCATAAGGATGCCTGCCATGGAGTGCCTTTCGAGCCCACGATTGCTTGATGGTGTCTATGCTTTTTATGTGTTGTGTCATGTCTGTATGTTGTGAGTGTAAGTTTAATGGTGTGTTATTTGAGTCTGCTAGAGTTACTGCTTTATGTAACTGTGATGTTTCTTGTTTCTTGTAGAAAAACTCTCGCAGTGACTGTATTTGTTTGTAGTGAAGGTTAACTATGTCAATCAGGCCACGTCCGCCTTCTTTACGTGGAAGGGTTAATCTTTCTGTGGCGGATTTAGGATGATGTTGTTTATGCTTAGTAAGTGTTGTTCTTGTTTTCCTTTGGAGTTGCTCGAGATCTGTGTGAGTCCAATGTATAACTCCAAAAGAGTATGTGAGTACTGGGATGACATATGTGTTTATTGCTTTAACTGTGTGTTTTGCATTTAACTGTGTTCTAAGTATAGCATTTAACCTACTTTGGTATTCTTTAATTAATCTTTGCTTTATTTGTGTATGTTCTGTTAGTTTGGCCTGTTGGAATCCTAAATACTTGTAGAACTCGCCCTCTTCCATGGATTCAATAATGTCCCCATTTCCAAGTGCAAAATCTTCTTTCTTTAGGATTTCTTTTTCTATGTGAAGTGTTTTGCATTTGTCCAAGCCAAACTCCAATTGTGTGTCCTTGGTGTATGAATGTGTGATTTGTAGGAGTTGATGAAGTTGTTTTTGTGTAGATGCATAAAGTTTTATGTCGTCCATGTACATGAGATGTGACAGCGTAAACTGTGATGTTTTTTACGTCTGATATTGTAGCCGTATTGCGTGTTGTTTAACGTGTTGGATGATGGGTTCAGGGCTAGGCAGAACCAGAGAGGACTCAAAGAATCTCCTTGAAAAATTCCTCGCCTAATGATTACAGCAGAGCATCGATTATCCGAATCGATTGGGACCGGAGTTGTTCGGAAGATCGCTGTTTCGGATAACCGACTGCGTACGAAAAAATATATTAATTTATCCCATCTTGACATTTTCCTCCGTCGCGTGACGCCTCGCGTTGAATTTTCGTCGATGTCAAGATTAACGAAGACTATTGTATCGTTAAAAATTATTTTTTTTATTT